GCCGATTACCGATTACTTACCGATTAATCGGTGCATCCTTAAATAATACATCGTTTCCAAACTCGATACATAAAAGTATCACTCATAAGCTCCATCCAATTTATTTTTTACCTTAGTTATTAAGTATTGGTGCATATAATATTTATTTAAGATTCAAGCAAAACATCCTGGAACCACTTCTAATTGGATAGAAACTGTATTAATCATGCAGTAAATGTTATTTGTTGACCTATGTACTAAGCAATATGTGCTTTTAAGGAATATTGTAATGCCATGAGGACAGAATATTTTTTGACCCAGAATGCAGAAGAAAATTTTATCCCTGTACGCTTAGTTTATATTAGTTGCGTTGAAAGAAGTTTTTATTGCATACACATTCAAGTTGATATATGATACGAAGTGTGAAGGAGTGATACGCAGATACGTAACGCACTGTACAGTACATCGTACAGTACATATGTATGAATATTTCGACATGAAGTTATCAACGTCGGCAAATAGAATATTGTATTATATATTTTTGTACTAATGGAAGGTCAGAACGTTTAGAAATGGAAAAATGCAGAAATATCGAACATTGATTGATTAACATAACTCCTTTGACAGTGTGTGTGGATCTCTTTAATCTTTTTAAAGTTCAGTAATTACCGTATTTTTTGTCGAAAATTTCTGAAAATTAGAATGTTCGTTTATTAAGGTGATTGTTGCTTTTAAGTTTTTGTGATTAAAGGTCTAGGGACTAAAGAAATAATGCAGGTCGTGTGTATCAGTAGGGCCGGACTTAGTGACGAGTTCACTCATTTTCTCATTTACAATTTTTTATAAAACTCATTTTTTATCATTCTTTATTTTATAAAAATACAGTAGTTAAAAATATAAAAATATTCTTAACAAAATATCGTAAGATGGCGACACACGTAGTTTTAAATGTTTCCTGAAAAGTTACGCACTCAGTTGCTGGTTTATTTAATAACGAAAAAAAGTTTCCGATCATATTTATTATAATTTGTATCACGCATCACACCAATTCGACGTGACTCATAACTAGTTTTCGGCTTGTAATCAGAAATAAATGATGTAGTGAAACACGTAATTTAATATTGTTACGTTAATTAATGAAAATATGCTCAGTTTTATTTTATATTTCAAGTTTTTCATAGAATACTTTAACACAAAATTACGTAAATTTTACTTCAGATATCAAGAAAGAAGAAGTAGAAGAAAATTATGATGTAAAACATGGTATAAAATCAGAATGTAAAGTTGTTTTGAAAAAATTGAAGATTGAAGTAAAGACTGAAGATTGTAAAGAAGTTGTTCATCTTCCAGATGATAATGAACAGGTAATGGTAAGTAATACGAATTTCGAATTATTTTACAGTGAAACTTTAATATTAACTTAGCTTACTGAATGGTTGAAAACGTAGCTGAATACCACTAATATAAAATTATGCTTTGAATGAAAGTGTATTCTGTATTAAATAAAAAATATATATTATATAAGAAAAACTTTAACAACGAGCTGCGTAAGTTTTCTGGCTGTTAAGAGATTTTATTTAAAAAGTATTTATATTATTATTAGTAATAAATAAATAAAAATTTTTTGTGGCGCCATATGTTATAAAATCTCTCTATAAATTTAATTAATTTATTATAGAATGTAGAAATGCTTAATTTTAATAGTAGAAATTCATTTCACAAAGCATTATAAATGCTAACCGCAAATACCATCTTCATTAAGTCTGATCCCGTTCGAGATTTTACACGTGACCATTTTTTATCTCTTCATCTCTCGACGTTTCTTTATCAAAATTTAATAGCATTAATGCTCCTTATACACAATGTACGGTATTAAATTTCGTTTTTTAATATTCAATTTATTCTGAAATATTAAATTAAATAGACGCCAAAATATACGCCCACACACACAGATATTCACGGAATTTTTTGCCGTGGTTTTCGGTGTAGAATCTGAAAATTTGCAAAAAATCAGAGGGTGAAAATTGACCAGATTTCAATACTGTATCTTGTTATGTATACATAACATTCGATATAGTAAAAAACGAATTTTAACATTAAATTTGTATATGTAAATTATAGTGTTTCAAACTTTTCTAATTTGGTAGTTTGAGTATTTATCCTTTTTTTGCACAATAAATTAGAGAATAAACAATCAGTTTTTATTTCAGACTGATCGATGAGTTGGTCAGGTCCACAATGAATGCGGCCACATGTTGAGGAAAATTTCCCGACATACAGTCGGACCTAAGATTTACGAAACCGTCGACAAAATTTATTATGGGGCCCTTCAAACAACGATAGTGTAAAATTCGAGATGTATTTATTTTTCTAATACTATGAAGACATTAATTAGATACACAGATTATAACAAATTAATAAACCTGCAATTTATAATTTTGAAGAATTTGAAGTTCAAGATTACAAGTTCTGGCGTCCAGCGCCAGAACTTGTAAACTTGGAAGTTTACAATGGCGTTTGGAACGTCGATCGTGGCGAGTAGAAGTTCGGCAAAAACGTTTGCTTTTTTCTCGTTTTGGGTTAAATTTATGGCGTATTTTATTAAAATAATGATTATTTAAGCATTTGCGAATAACATTGAGAAGAAACAGACGATTTAAATCCAGAAGTTATTTAATTATTCAATTTTCTTGCAAGTGATGTAAAGTGCCTGTAGAATTTTTATATATTTGTGTTCATAACTACTTATCATAATACTGTAAAAATAGGTTTGTTTTTTACGTCACTTTCTGCCATCAACAGCATAATACGTTTGTAAAATTTTAAAAATAATTTTTCAAGCTATTTTCGGATTTATATAAGCCACAACTTCAATCAAGAAAATTATCTCGTGAAAACAGAGAAAACACATTGTAATTTCCTTACTGTTACTTTGTACTGTAGGAGACACGACGCTAATTAAAGTCAAAAATAATTGTTTAGTGTTATTAAACATTCTCTAAATAGTTTTAAATAGTTTAACTTGTTCATTTACGTTCGTTGATAATTATCGTCGTTCTTAAATCTTTCTGAGTTTTCAACAATAACACATGAATTAGTGTGTGATGTTACTTTGGCACAACGTGTTCTGCTTTGTGTTGAAACGTCAAATGTGTACTTCTGCTTGCCGTGCAAGTTTAAAGTTTGAACCTCGGGTGAAACCTTTCTAATGTAATAAAATGAGCAAAACAGTTTGACAACGAATTGTGAAATTCAATAGGTGTAAAAATTTTTCTTTACAGAACTACTCTTTTGGCTATCACAGTGCTAAATTAATTTATATAGATCTGTAGCAAAATCAGCCTGCTTTATTAGTAATATCTTTTTAAATGGACAAGTTGGAAAGAGTCTCGCTTGTTATTTTGTTAATTTCCCCAAAAGGCTAAATAATTTTTACTAAATTTTCAAAACATAATTAATTTTAATGCAATTTTGTAGCATGTAGCGTATATGTTACCGTGAATGACCGATATCTGGCGAATGTCAGCATTCACACAGTCGTTTCGTTTATGTACGAAGTATTTGCTAAATATCATTATTTCTCACTTACACTGGCAAATGTCGACACTCAGCATGCACTGATGGTGAATGTTAAATAAAAGTGTTTTTATTACGTTAAGACAAAAATGCAACGTTTTAATACGTCAAAATAGGAGAAAACTTAAGTAACAGCATTTGCAAATAAACTGTTGAACCTAAAACGAAAATTAAAATTAAAGAAAAGAAAATTAAAGGGTATAAATTAGGAGCAACGAAGAGAGGCGCCATAATAAGATTTCGCCCCATCCTAAAACTTGCCTCGGGCCGGCACTGCTTGTATTTCTTACCAGTTTGAGCAGAAGGAAACGGCGAAGAATTTGACGACGGACTGTCCCCTCTCTGTAGACATCGACTTCTCGGGTGTCGTTTCGACCTCCACCAAACCTTATCTGTGCTTGACCGGCGATTGTTCGAATGTATAATAAATTAACCAAATATTCGGTCTTTCACCGACGTATTGTGTCGACATTCACTGGAGAATAACGACATTCTCTAATTTCGGTCTTTCACAGTAACATATATATGAAATCACAAAATAGCAGATTTGTAATTTTTAAATGTGTGGAGACTTTCATATTACTTTTCCCACTATTATATCTAAGAGACGAAAAATATGGCGATCAGTCAAAAAAATGACCCCCTAGAAGATTTTTACATTTTTGGGCATTAGGACATATTCAAACGTAAAAAAATGCAAAAATTCGTGGGTTTCATCTGTATATATGGATTTTACAGTGTGGTGGTGCACCTCTGTTTGAAACTTAATAACTCGAGTTATTTTTGTCGAAAATTTCTGAAATTTTGCAGGAACGTTTGATTATTAGGGAAATTGAGGCTATTAAATTTTTCTGCATAAAAATCAAGAGAGTGGTAAGATAATGGGAGTCATGTGTGTCTCCAGTAGGGTCGTACTTAATGATGATTTTACTCGTTATTCGTATTTAACTAATTTTATATAAAACTCATTTCTACTTTTAAAATTCAGTTCTTTACTTTTCTATAATAGTTAAACATATATTGTCTTTAAAAGACGTTTTATTACAGAAAGCGCCAACAAATTTTAAAATGTTTCCGGGAAAGTTTAGCAACTCGTTTCTGGTTTATACACTGAGTGTCCAAAAAATTGGTAACATCCTCTATTAACGAGTTGATCCATCTTTAGCTCTCATCACAGCCAATAATTTTGGCATAGATTCAAAAAGTTGCTGATACCGTTAATGAGAAATGTTGATTTATGCTGACATAATGGCAGCTCTAAATTGGGTCAAATTGGATAGTGCCGTTTCCAAGCTTTGAAATGATCTTTCGACTTTGTCCCTCAAATATTCCATAAGATTGAGGTCAATGTACTGACTGAGCTTGCCATGAGAGCAGGTTAAACTCTGATTGATGTTCCTGAAATCAATTTGAGATTGATCGAGCACGGTGGCAAGGTGCATGGTTCTGCTGAAAGTGATCATTTCCATCAGGGAATATTACAGCCATAAACGAGTCTACGTGATCGGCAACGATGTTGAGATAAGCTATGCTATTCAGAAATGTATTCCCAAATATTAAAGAACCCAGTGTACTCCAGGAAAACATAATTCCTAAAAATAAAACCACCAGGAGGGGGACCATTAATTCATGTTGTTTGCGCCATATTCTGATTCTGCCATATGCATGATGGAGCAGGAAACGAGATTCATCGGACCAGACTATTTTTTCTAGTCCTCAAGTGATTAATTTCGTCGTTCCTGAACTCACAATAGGCGCCTTTTTCTATTTTTCTGTAACACCAAAGGCACACTTAATGCTAAAGCCCGTCCTTTACAAAGTCCTTCTTGTTATGCATTGCGACATGCTTTGTGATGCACCTACATTGAATTCAACTGTACTTTGTCGTGTTGTTGCCCTTTAGTTGCTGCAGACTATGTGGGCTAATCACCTTTCACCTCTCTCGTTCACCAGCCTTTTTCTACCAGAATTGTTTTTATTGCTTGAACTTTTTTCTCAACTGCCACTCTCTAAACACCTGAGATACTGTTGGGTGAGAAAATCCTGAAAGAGTCACTGTTTTAGAGATGCTGGCACCAGCTATTCTGGCACTGACGATCACCACTCGTTGAAAGTCACTTAAATCTTTCGTCTTATCCATTTTGAAATTAACTTCTGTGATAACTACATCGTCAAAAGCTGAGCGTTCCTTATATATGCAACTCTGCGTTCACACTATGTCACTATTAGACAAGTTTAATTTGAAATAAGTGATGTCTCTAATTTTTTGGCCACTCAGTGTATATTATAAGTAATTATTAGTGGTTGACATGTGTTGTTTGTATATTGTTTAGCCAGTCAACAATGAATTCTTCACTCCGGACGAAGATTTCAACAATAATGAAATGAACATCCAAAGTAAGTAACATGTTACTTAATTCAAAATTTTTATATTAGTATTATTTAGAGGGCAGCTAAAGAACTGCATTCAAGTTTCAACTGTCATACATTCAACTGGGATGGGATATTTGAGAATTATAAGTAACTATTTATACGCATTAATATAACTGTTAAAGTTAATAGAAATCTGTTGGGATGAGAAGAATTATTAAATTACAACTCATGAAGAATCTCTCGATTGTTTCTCTCTGCTTAAAATCCATAAAGTTTTGTTGTGGTACTTTTCGTTTCCTCTCTAAAAGCACGCGATTTATTCCACGCTTCTGTGATAACCAGTGGAACAAACTACATAAATAATATAAATAAAAACAGATAAAATGAAACAATTTAATTTCTTTTACTCATTTAAAAGTCCGATAAAGAAACTAAAGCTCAATCAATTAGTTTTAGATTGTAAAATGCTTTATTTTTAGTGCAAACGACAAATAATGTCTTGCTTTTAAATGAAAAACATAAGTACACTTTACCAATTATATAACTACTACACTAATATTTTAACATTGAAACTATGTTATGTTTACTCAAATATTATAAGTAATTTCTTATGTTACTTTTCAATATTTCAGTTAAGGAGGAAGAGCAGATTCAAGAAGATATTCTACACAACTGCGAAAGAGAAAAACATTTTAAATATAATATCAAAACAAGCAAATACGTTTTTTCCAGTAGGAAATGCAATAAAATTCATGATAAGATTAAAAGGAAATACTTCAAGGTGTTGATTGCATCTCATTCTAAACAAGAATTTACGTGTGATTTATGTAAACAGACTTTTACAAATAAGAGAATATTACAAACACATCTGTTCTGTCATATTAGAAAGAAACCATTTCGCTGCACAGCCTGCAATAAAAAGTTTTTGTGGCAATTTCTTTTGCGAAGACACGTGAAAGAACACAAAAGTGGAAATAAAAACGAAATCTCTCATAGGAATTTACGTTTGCAGCCATCTGGTGATGCAGTGAAGTCATCTTCAAGAAATGGTAAAGTTCACGCCTCCAAGATATGTGAAAAAGAATATAAGCTTAAAAATAGTTTGTTACGTCATAAACCAACGCATAGTGAAGATCGTTCTTTCAAATGCGATATTTGCAATAAGAGTTTCAAACGGAAGGACTGTTTAAAAACTCATTATGTAATTCATACTGATGAACGTAACTATACTTGCCAGGTATGTAACAAAAGTTTTAAAACAAAACAGTATTTGGCAATTCATAAAGTAGTTCATAATGATAAACGTAATTATACTTGTCAAGTATGTAACAAAAGTTTTAAACGAAGTGAAAATTTAAAACAGCATATTGATATACACAGCGATGAATACAAATATTCTTGTCACATATGTAACAAATATTTTAAAACAATATCTACTTTGGGACATCATAAACTTATTCACAATAAAAAATCTAATATCGAGCGTAAAAACGTGTATTGCGACATTTGTGGTAAGCGCGTTCCATATGGTAAGGGCCGTTTAGAAATACACAAGAAAACACACAGAACTCATGCCTGCGAAATATGTGGAAAAGAATTTAAGCTTAAAGGTATTTTGTTACGTCATAAACTAGTGCATAGTGAAGATCGTCCTTATAAATGTCATATTTGCAATAAGAGTTATAAACTGAAAGGGCATTTAAAAAGACATCACGAAACTCATACTGATGAACGTAACTATGTTTGTCAGGTATGTAACAAACGTTTTATAACAAAAGGTACTTTGATAGCTCATGAAATACTTCATAATGATGAATTTAACCATACTTGTCACATATGTAACAAAAGTTTTAAACGCAGTGTTAGTTTAAAACAGCATACTGTTATGCACAGCAACGAATACAAATATTCTTGTGACATATGTAACAAACATTTTAAAACAAAACCCTCTTTGAAAAATCATAAAGTCGTTCATAGTAATCAATTTGATTATAATTGTCAGGTATGTAATAGAAGTTTTAAACGCCGTTCTGGTTTAAAAGTGCATATTCGTAAATACGGCAATAAATGCGAATATTTTTGTCATATGTGTAATAAATATTTCAAGACAAAACATTCTTTGGAACAGCACAACATTATTCATAAAGATACATAAAGGCATGTTTGAGACATATGTAAAAAAGTTTACACCAATACAACTGCCTTAGCCAAACATTGTATAGTTAAATATGAAAATATGCATGTATGCAAAATTTGTAGTAAAGCATTCAAGACTGAAACCACGTTAAAAGAACATTCGATAATTCACATTGAAAAATGTAATGTTTGTAATAAGGAATTTAGAAGTAAAACCAGTTTAATCAATCACCAGAAAAATCATTAAGACATAAAACCATTTCGTTGTGAGAAATGCAATAGACTTTTTACCACTAAACATGTATTAAAATGCCACGAGGTCACTCACAATGAAGACAATCTTCGTTACGTTTGTGAAGTGTGTAACAAAGGATTTTGTGTAGAAAGTTTTCTATTAAGCCGTCAACTCGTTCATCAGAATTAAGCGTATTTTTGCAGAAATAGTAAAAGCAGATGTAAAACAGAAACTCAATAGATATTGCATTTAAAATTTTATTGTATAAAAAGACACCCCAAACAATTACTTTATCAATGTAACAGATATTTACGTGTGTGGAGGTTTTACAGAAGCATATGACTATTTTTAATAATCAGATTCATTTTTGTTGTGACATTTGTAAACAGAAATTTACAATAAAAATCGAATTCCAAACTCATCAAAAGTCTGTTCATCCCACAGGAAATAAACATGAAATATGCAAGAAGACATTTAGAAAACAGATTGAATTAATTAAACACATGAAAATATTTACGTCTTAAAAAATGCAATGTTTGTTGGAAAAAATGCTGTTCAAATTACGTTTTAAATATACACATGCGAAGTCATTTTTCACAATGGAGTTGTTCTTGTGAAAGGTCTCGAAATAATTTACATATTTTTAAACAATTATTTTATTTTATTTAAGTATAACGTTTATTAAAGATACTTAACGTCATGAACACAAAGTCTTTAGTGTAAAGGAAAATAAATGTACCCTTTCGAACACGAGTTCCTATAGTTCGGATTCCTATAACACGGCGAAAAAATTGCGACAGTATTCGTACAAACACGCTAAAAAAACTCCTATAATTTGGTAAAGCGTCATCGCCGACTCGTGTCGCGACAGGATTGGTCGAATCTAGACCAATAGCGGATATTGTACAAACTGTTGAGTTTAAACGAGCAGCGGACCTACCAAAAACCATTTATTATTTAACGTCCATAAAAATTATATTTATATTAATGATGTCTCTAAAGTTCAGCAAAATTTTCGCAGAAAAAATAATTTATCAGGAAGCACGCGAGCGCCATTCGGTGACAATCTCCGCGACGAAAACAAGCTTAAGCAACGGTGTAGTCGAACGCTGCACGCTCGGTAAGTAATCCTACAATTTTTTGTTTATAGCATAGTTTATATGGATTATTTTCAAAAAAACGTATCTACCGTGTTATAGGAGGGGTCGACTGTATTGTGTATTTTATCTCTGAAAAAAGTCGTCAAGACTTTAATTCAGCATTTTTTTGCAAATGAATAATTTGTGGAAATTTTCTCAGGATAAAAGAATTCTGTCAATCTATTGATTACAATCTGACTATATTAGTAATGTTTTATTTAAATTTAATGTATAATTAAATGTATTAACAATAATAAAATATTTTAATAAGTACTCTATACTATGTGTTTATTTTTATTTATTGTTTTGTTTTTTATTAATTATTTTAATACAGTATTAAAATAAATATATTTATGTACACAATCGTTATTTTTTTATTTTTTATAATCTAGTTACAAATATCTGTAATTAGCAATAAAATAAATATAAAAGAATAAATTTAACCCAAACACTTGTGAGATTAGGAAGATACGACGCAATAAGAATTCGATGACGGTGCATTGTGCATTGTGGTTGGTTTAAATTTATCACGTGACTTTAAAATGGATAACATAAATGGCGTAGGAAGTTTTCAGTTACTGTGTATCTTTAGCCTGTGTCTTCATTTATATATTCATTATACTGGAAATTCTCCCGCCAAGCACGACGGAATACCGTTTATGAGAAAATAAAGATTGAAGTTAAGTCGAGCTTGATGTTGTGATGCTGTTCCTCAGCTTTTGACAAAACCATTCTTACTCTGTGTTGCTTAATTCGGAGTTCTCTGCTTCTGGTGTGTCTCGATTGTTCTTATTCTTTTGCATCTAGAATATACCTGATCATTTTACTCTTACGCTAACCCCAGGCCAAATATCGAGTCTTTTTATTCCACGTTGATAAAACAAAGATGAATTGTATATACTGTACTGTACATTAGTTATAGATTAGGGATAGCATTTTCTAAATAACGGGCTCGTTAGATCGTTACTAACGATTGGATAATAAAACGTCACGTGATCACTATGGAATAATTTAAAAAAAAAAAAATTGTTACAGAAGTGACACGATGAAGCTGTTGTTTTTGAAAGTCCAAACCTGAAATTTAATGAAGTAAGGTCAAAATACGCTATTTGACAAACGATTGAGAAATGCAACTCAAGGGAAATTTCCCAGTATCATGAGCGTTTCGTGATCACTGATGTCACTGCAACATACGACAATCACGGATCCGAAATCGATAAAATGTTTTTTTTGTAGTTAATATTTCCGCAATATAAGTAACGTTCTGTCACATAATATAACCAAAATTTAACTGGATTGGTCAAAAATTGCTGGTGTTATAAGGAATTCACATATACACACATACACAGACAAAGGCTTTTATATTTAGTAACAGCGGGGATAATGCTATTGAAATCATTAATTATCAAATTATTTTGTTAAATTATATTCAAAAAAAGGCGCTACGTGTAAATCCAAGAATCAAATGTAGACAGGTATTAATCGATGTATAGAAATTCAATCGATAATTTGGATGGAATATATGACATGATTTAAGTCAGAAAAATTATGTAATTGTAACTGTCGAATTTCGTAGCAATTGGTCGAACGGTCTAAAAGCGTATAGCAAACAAACGAACACATAAGAGGCCTGATTAATTATATATATGAACTTCCGATGCAAACCGGAATATTGTTAGAGGCTAAGTATAGTGTACAGAGACAAGACACTACCAATTTGACTTCGCACGTGAAGTTTTAACGTCTGAACTTCAGCCGCAACCTCTCTATTGTATCGTGATTTCAGTTCGTTCTGTTACCGATAAATTGGTTCTCACTGTTTATAAATTTATAAATAACTGTAGCACGTGTATAGTTCGGATGGACTCTTGATATCGTCACACAAGAAGTATACGAGACTAAAATTACACCTCACAACCCAAATCTGATTTGGTACATTCATACATCACAAGACTCAACGGATTTTATTGTGGAACCACAAAGTTTTATTGGAAATCCCTCGTCTAATAAGTTGGCTAATGGACAAAACCATCGAATACCGATAATTGTTAGTTCGTTCTCGTCAATGGGCTAGCCAAGTATAGTTTTTCGGATTTAATCTTCTTTGTAACACGTAAATAGTAGCCAGTTTCTCTTACAAAGCACTTTCGGGAAGATCCTCTTTCAGCAGATTGCTCACATGTTGCATTGCCGTATACAACCGTAAACCAAACCGAAACAAATTAATAATTTATACAAAACATGTAAGAAGTAATTTAGTTTAAACGCAGTTTTCTAATGCACAACAACACTTTTTTGATTTACATAACTATTTTCAAGGATAACATATTTTTGCGTTGTTTCTACATTTTTTATCCTGTCAAGAACGAATTTTTCATTTCGGACAGAAATTCTAACAGAAATGATACGAACGTACAGTACAAAGTACGTAACAAGTTTGTTTGTTAAATGATTTTATAAAGATCAGACTTTAAAGTTAAGTTGTACCATCTGCTATACAATTTTATTTAAAAACTTGTTATATTTTTGCTATTATAAAATAACAAAAAGCTTCATTTTAAGGGAAGGGGTAGGTTTTTAAAAAATACTGTAAATGCTAATAACGAGTAAAATCTTCATTAATTTTGACCCCACGCATTATATTTACACATGTACCCTCTGTACCATCAAAATTTAATAGCATCTAACCCTCAAAACACGATTCTCCCTTTAAAACTTCAGTATTTTGAACAAAATTAGACCAATTATTACGCATCAAACTGGGTAAAAAAGAAGTGCAACATACTACGGAGATGCATATCCATACATACGTACGAAATTTTTTTTCAATTTATTTTTTGAATTTTGAAGGTCTCCGTAGTTCGAAAATGAAAAAAATATTGGGCGGTCATTTTCTTGACCGATCGTCATACTGGCCGTTACATATAATAGCCAGAAAAGTAAATGTACATAATGAAAAAATGTTTGTTTGTTTTTTTAAATTAATCAGAAGAATTATTACGATAATTAATCACAAGCATTTCACTGTCAAATCCAAAAATTAAGCTATTAACGTGCTTTATCGTGAAAAACTTCATATGAAGTGAATAACTTAATGATATAATACTAGCAGATGAGCCCGGCGTTGCTGGGGCAAAAAGTATCGATAGCTAAGATTAAGATTATTAGATTACTAGCTGTTACCCGCAACTTCGTCCGCGGAGGTTTTGCAAGCAAACCCCATTTACATTCAATATTTCAATAACCATAGTAATTGTCATTTATCGTCATTTAGAAAGAAACATATAGTAATTGTCATTTAGAAAGAAACATTTCTTATTCAACGGCGATAAAAATTATTAATATTAATGACGTCTCCAAAGTTCAGCGAAGTTTTCGCAGAAAAATAACATCAGAAATCGCGGCCGCCGTTCGCTGAGCTGTTCTGCGACGAAAACAAGCTTTAGCAACGGCAATGTCGAATGGTGCACACTCGGTAAGTAATCCTACAATTTTTTGTTTATAGCGTTATTTATACGGATTATTTCCAAAAAAAAAATATACGTATTTTGGAAATATTGAGTCGGATTAGTCTAGAATCGATTAATTTTATGAAAGAAAATCTTTCAAACAGCCGTAGTCCGTAAACTTCACACGTGTCGGGCTGTGATTCCTACAAAATCGGATTCCTAAAGAACAGAACGTATCTACCGTCTTATAGGGGGTTGACTGTATTTATTTATTCGAAAAATAATAATAAATATAGCCGCTGTGATAAATGGTCACGTTGTTCTTGTGCCAATATCGAAGGAAACGACAGTTTAATTATTTCAATTCGTTTTTCTTGTATATAAAAATAATATTCCCATCTTACCCCCATCTTCCCCTATATGTCGAGAACTTGATACTCCACGTGGCTGCCATTATTGTGAGCCTGGCCACTAGAGACATGGAGAGAAATGTCCTCTTCATTTCCATTAAGCATGTGAGTAAAAAAAAAAAAAAAAAAAAACAGAAATTTATGTACGGTGCCAAATTCACAATTGAAAAAGGCCATCATAATAACCCACAAAGTGGAAAAAGTTAAAGCAGAAAATTATGGATTAATGTAAGTGTCGAGAAGCACTATTTACTGTAAAAATGGGGTAACTGTAGATTTAATCGGTTGTAATAGAGAAAGTTGCTTAATAAATGTAATATTTGTGTTGACGCAATATTATGAATCATTTCATTTATTGCGTGTTTATAAACAGTAGGAATAAATTGGAAATAGTTATGTTCTAATATCAAGTTACTAAAACACAGTGTTTTCAATGTACGGTGATCGGTTAACGAACATAATCCATTCCAAGATTTCGTTCGTTATCCGATCTGTTCGTTAACCGATCACCCACTGTATTTCTGTTGTTGTCTGTGCAGGATCTTTTTATTATTCATACTCTCTCCATTTCTGTAACTAATAGTTACTCTCTCAACCCTTCTGAAGTAAAATACATTCATAACTCTATCATACATTAGTTCAAAACTTTTTGTCTTCTCCAGAATTTTAATTTTTTCACAATCTCTTTCAAGCCATTTTTCAGCTCGTTCAATCATCCTTTTTAACTTATTGTTGATTTCTTTGTATATTCCTCCTTCACGTTCTACGGTTCACATTTTTCCACCTTCTTTCATTTATTATATTCAGCATTTCCTCCGTAATCCAAGTTGATGAGTTCTTTACCCTTTCTTCTTTCTACCTGTTTCTCTGCTGTCATTGATATCCACAATTTGTTTGGTCCTTCAGTACATTCTTAATTTATTTCTTTGAGTTTTTGTCTTTTAGAAATTTTCTAAAGCCTATTTACAACTTTTTTCCTTTCTGATTTTTTTAACTTCAGTTTAAATTTTGAGTATAAGAGGTTGTGATCCGAGTCTATGTCTACAGCTGGATAGAATTCCTGTACCTCTCTTTAGTTAATATATAGTCTATTTGGTATCTGTTGTTGTCTCTGGGATCTTTCCAATTATATAATCTTTTCTTTTTTTGAAATTCTGCATTTGTAATTATCATACTATGTTTTTTTCCAGAATTCAATAAATTTTTCTATAACCGAAATGCAAATTTTCTTTTCAATGTTATCCGCATTTTATTCAATGCTTTCCTTCCACCTAAAAAGTACGGCTTGATAAACGATTTTAAAACAGAAAGTGAATTGACACTATTAAGCAAACCATTAGGGCCATATGAAAGCTAAAGTTAAAAGCTAAAGTTGTATAATCAAAAATAAGTTGCTTTTTAACTAATTATTTCGGTTTAATGTTGTTTTTCGTTTAAAATCACTGCTTAGCATCGTGTATAATGTGAATTTCGTTGTTATGTATTAAATTAACTCAAAATAGATGTAAAATCCATATAAAACAATGAAATTATTTTAAAAAATTAATCTTGTTGTAGGTTAAATGCTTACATTACATGCGATGAATAGGTAATTTTATATTATTTTTATAAATACCACATATTTGTCTTTCTTTAATTAGATGTTCTTTTGATTTAAGACGAAGTAGTGCATTCAACATTTCTATTTGTAGCCAGTTTTCATAACGAATTGGTTGAAAATGCTTTGAACAAGTGTCAGCTATAAACAAATTTTTAAAATTAATATTTAAAATAGATCGGTTCTTGTCTGAAGATGCCCAATCGAAGAGCCTACGCAAAAAAACTTTTCTTTTCTTCACTGATTTTTATTAGAAAATCGCAAATTTGTTGAGATTGCAACGAATTGTCTAAACTCGAATTTGGTATAGTACTGTAGATTGATCACTTTAATGACCACTTTACACACCTCCAATTTCTCATTTTATCCATCTCAAAACTTGTATACTTTGAATTTTGCAATTTACGATACAATTTTATTATTTAAAACCATTTATGTAAATAAATCGAGACTTGAAATTTTTGTCCTCCCTAAAACCTGTAAAAATAATGTACATTTTTCTCGGTTTCGAAAATTCTTTTAAAATGTTATGAAAACGATAAAAAAAAACTAAAATAAAATTAATTTTTTTATTGTTAGCACTCTTTAACAATACGTTTTGCACTCGATTGTTACAGAAGTGTGTTGGCTTTTCGGCATTGAATTTTCAGTCGATGGACTTTTTTCTAATTCCTCGAAACATTCCCGATATATCAAATGGGTCCATTTCGATCAATCTAATAAATTCAGATTGAGATTATCTTATAGTTCATATGACATAATCTCAGTCTGAATATTTTACATTAATCTAGATCGAGTCCTGGATTGAACTAAAATATTAAAATGGAGGTCGATATATGGTACTAAGACGTCGAGTTTGATCGAAGTAAACCTTATTCGGATCATTTTATAATCTTTGGAAGAAAAAGTTGGCCCGTTTCAACTCTGGGATAATACTCTCAAGACTGGAAAGAAATATAGGCCTAAATGTAATGTAGTTTTTGAATTATAAAATGTTTTTATTTTATTATCCACATAACGTATAAAAGAATCTACATACATTTCAACAGGCATTTAACTTAAACGATGACTAAATTAAGAACTTTAAATATATTTATTAGTTCTATTAGAAATATAGAACTAATAAATATCGAATATTAGAAAAATCTATTAGTAGTAGAAAATATCTATTAAATGTTTAATTAATTAAAAATACGATTGAAAATTGCAGCCCGGCATTGTGACGATGTCGCAATAATAAATTGTTCGTAATAAATCATACATAGGTGAGGAAAAAATAAATTGAAAAGTAAAATGTCAAGCGACGAGTTGCATAGCTTTCCCAGCTAGAAATTAAATAATATGTGGTACCATCTGTTACTGGCTGGAGGAGGTTTCCTGACTTTCCTTTGCGTTTGTATCACCTAAATAAATATTTTCCTATAAAAATAAATCATACATAGGTGAGGAAAAAATAAATTGACGAGTAAAATGTCCAGCGACGAGTTGCATAGCTTTCCCGGCAAGAAATTAAATAATATGTGGTACCATCTGTTACTGGCTGGAGGAGGTTTCCTGACTTTCCTTTGCGTTTGTATCACCTAAATAAATATTTTCCTATAAAAATTTTTCATTTCTAAAAATATAATTTAATTTCATTACATTTTTTATTATATTAAAAATCTGACGTAACCCGTAAAGATTTGTTGTGACGTCCGATTGTTTCGTAACATTAGCTTCGTATTGTTATAATTTCAATTGTCAAAAGATATCTGAAAATCGACAAAATTGCGAAAATGTTTACTTTTCCTCTTCACTTTATGGCAGAATTTTCTTTTAATAAAACTTCATCAAGGTAATTAATTGATTTATTTATTTATAGTAATTAAAAATCGCGTTTAAATATCGAATTTATTATAAAAATTAATATATTCATTAAGATTTGCATATAAAATAATTTATTAATAAATTAAAGTCTTAAACTTAGCTTCATGGGTAAACTTACCCGTCTGCGGGACATTGTTCACTCGCATTTCTATAATTCTGAAGACAATCAAAAAACTTTAATACAAATTCGAATTAGTGGGGAAATCAACATCGTAATACATGCGAGGAACAAATAGCCAATCAGATAGCATTTAAGTCGACTTTGTGCACGATTATAAATCGCACCTTAATTTTAAAGATCGAAAAAGTCCAAATAGATGCTTATTAAATTCAAAAAAAAAATAAATAGTAACGTGTATTTTATTAGAAATTAATTTTTATTGTGTGCCATCCATGTGATTTTATTACGTTTATCCGAATGAATTTTCTTTTTAGCCAAGTGTTACATTTAACAAATATTTTACCGAATCCGAGATAAGAAAATTGTTAAAAAGAAAGTTTCCTTTTAAAAAAAAATGCGATTAAAACACTGGAAATATTACATCTATGGCGTAGAACGCGTTACGCATTGCAAAACTAGATGGATTCGAATTCGTTCCATTTTTTTATTGCCAACGCCATCTTGAAATACAACGTTTTTCGGAAATTGTGAGTTATTTTTCTCTCCATTTTATCATTTTTCGCGTAAATTTTAATATCGAAAACTTGCGTAACGTAACTTAATATTTCTGTGTTAATAAGATATCAAAATTAGGTTAGATTTACCTTATGTAGCCAACATGGCCGCACTCCGACTGTTCGTGGTCCAGACGGACTCCTCCCGGAAGGGAGCCGCCGTCAAGCCTCTCAGTGTCAAACGTCACTAGCTATTAATTCAAGGTAGTTTTTGAACAAAATAGATATAAAAATGGAAAAGTCTACCAAAAATTAAGCTAATCTAACGGAAACGAAATGAACCTAACCGAAGGTCCACCATTTTGGCTATTTAAAATAAATTTGACCCAGAATTGAATAACTCGCGATAGAAACGTCTTTATATTTTTCATTTTCATTAAAATCGTAAGATCTTTTTCTAGCCCTATTCATAGGTAAATGGTGACATTACCTATTGTATTTTAAAATAAATTCAGATATTTCCTCTGTATTTTTTACAGGATTGTATAATTATGGATTCCATAAGAGTGATAGCGTTTAGAATGAAATTTCTCCTCCTTTTAAGATCGTTGTTATATATTCTAGCATTTCTGTGTAGATGATATTGAATTATATGCATTACATAAATGACATGCTTCAAACACACATTTCAAAAGATACCTATTTGTTGATACTTTCTAATCTATTAAGATCTCATTCGAATACTTATTTTATTTGTGAAATAATATTTGTACAAATGCATATCAATTTAGTATGCTGTTGATTATGCAATTTACAACAGCGAAAATTCAAATGAATTTGTAGACTACAAATATATACTGACCACATATGATGTAGTGTACACGTAGATCACACTTGCAATAATATACTTTAAAAACACAGAACTGAAAGTACTTCATGGCATGAATTTTCCATGTAAGGTGACTAACTTAAATGTTATAGAAACAATTGTGAAAGAATGAAACGTGAAATTCTCTAAGTCAGATTCTGCTAATTTTTCTATCGATGATTTTGTTAATATTATTATGTGCACTTTTGATCATTTAGAAACCATATTGCCAGACAAGGTAACGATGATTGCTTTTTTAGGAGAACAGGTAAGTTTCTTACCTATTATTAGGAACAGACAAACATCCTTTTAAAGCACAATGATACTTGTAAGCTTAATGAATATCTTCACACAGTTACAAATTTCTTAGGGCTTCAAATATCTTAAAAGTGCCGAGTCCATCCACTATTCGACAAATATGCAATTGTTTTCAAAGAAATCCCATATCAGAAAAATATCCATTAAACTTGTTACAGTATCTATCAATAAAAAATAATTTCTTATGATCTGATGATTAAGTAGTTGTTTTACTCGTACTAATGAATGAAATTCACTTGCAATCAAATTCTTCAAATTATAAGGGAGGAAATGTGGTTTGAATAAAGCATTTCCAAATACATTTCCTCCCTTAATTAGCCGACCGAAAATATGTATTCATAATCAACAGTATGTTGTTCAGTTTTAAAGAGGTTGTGCACGTATTGCCAATCACAACAATCACAAGTAACATATTGCATAATTTTGTGAAAAACATCATATTGAGATTGGAAGATCTTGGCATTAAAGTTGTGCAGTTGTTGCAAATAATAATAAGTTAAACAGTGCATCAATAACTTTTTTCAATAATCTTCCAAATGTAACACATGCTTACGAGTATTCTCACCCAAAATATTCTAATAAAAATCTTTATTTTGTCATTGATACAGTACACATATTAAAGTGCATTCGTAATAACTGGTTAAATAAAAAACCAGAAAAAGAGATAGTATATCTTCATGTTGATGATGACCAATGTTCAGAACTTCGAATTGCCTCATTCAATGCACTAAAGCAACTACATGCACCAGAAAAGTCTGGAAAGCAACAGCTAATTACCTAGAAATTATATGTAAGTGGTCAGACATTAAGATAAAAACACCTTTGAAAAGTAGGAGATTCTGAAAACCTTTTCAAAAGACTCTTATATCCCAATAACACGACATTATAAAGTATTTGAATGAGTTCTTAATTTGGTTACAACGATGGGAAACATGTCCAAATGAATCTGGATTAACGAGTGAAAAAAAATTTTGCTTTAAAGCTCAGCCCACAAACATTGCTGAAGCTGTTAGAACACTAGCTGTCAAAGTAAGGAAATACAGTAATTATTTCCTAAGTGGGAAGATTCAAACTAATAACCTAGAAGATCGATTTGAAAAATATCTTCAACTGCCTGGATTTCAGTTTCATATATCAGTCAGACAAATTTTTGAGTCGAAAGATAAGCTTAGAAACCAGAATTTGCTTCCATTTGTCATTATATCAAATTTTCTTGGTAACATTCCAATATATGCAAATTCGTGTATTCTGTAAGAAATTTTTACAAATGAAAGTGACAAAAGTATATTAATTTACAGATATTGCCCCAGACTTTCGCATTGGATTGTATAGATGACGATGATGCTATTTATAAGATATCTGATGATAAATGTTCTTTACTTACCTATATAGGGGGTTATGCTTCTTACACAGTAACAAAAAAGCTGAAATGAGCTTCATTATAAGACACTATTCCAGAGTGTTTCTTTTTAATTAAAAGACATGATTATCCGTTCTTTTTTGAAAGGTTAATAACCGCACCTAATAGTAGTGGTTTCTGCTATCCAATTAAAGATGTCATCTATTGCATTGACCATGTGTACGTCATCAAAACTTTTGTATAAATAGCTTCAAAATGTGAATTTTCAACAGCAAAATTATAGAAATATAGTTATTGAACTGCTAGAAAAAAAGTCTTATGAAATTAATGTTAAACACCATTGTCAAACACATGTAGCTGCTAATCTCTATAAAAAAAAACTGTACACATTGCTGCAAATCACTTGTTAAATGATTACACTAAAAAAAAGTATGATTTTACAGCCAAAAGCAACATCCCACAAAATAAGAAATCAAAATTTACTTAATAGTTAAAGTAAACTTTCATGTGTTTAGTTCACATATTTCATATTTATTTTTTATTGCCTCGGAAAATCCCAAACTTTCGAGATAACTGTCGTAAATTCGTGAGTTTTAAATGTGAACTTTAAAATATTTTTTCTCGTGAAACACTCGAGGTAAGTTTAAAAAACACTNACTTTATTATAATTATGTATATATGCTCTCCGCCGTCTAGCGCTACGCTACGGAGAGTTTAGGCGAACTATCGTCTGTACAGTATGTAAATTAGGTACCGTAAGTCTAATACAGTACTGTAATTTTATACATTTTGTGTGAAAGAAACATTCTTTATTCAACGGCGATTAAATTTATTTATATTAATGATGTCTCCAAAGTTCAACGAAGTTTTCGCAGAAAAATAAGATAAAAAATCGCGGCCGCGGTTTGCTGAGCTGTTCCGCGGCGAAAACAAGCTTGAGGAACGGCGATGTCGAATGGTGGACACTCGGTAAGTAATCCTACAATTTTTTGTTTATAGCGTAGTTTATACGGATTATTTCCAAAAAAAATATACGTATTTTGGAAATGTTGAGTCGAATTAGTCTAGAATCGATTAATTTTGTGGAAGAACACTTTTCAAACAGCCGTAGTCCGTAAAGTGCATACGTGTCGGGCTGTGATTGGTAAGGACTCGTAAGAAATCGATTCATAAAGGACGGAACGTATCTACCGTCTTATAGGGGGGTCGACTGTACGAGTAAGTTCAAACTTTTATATTTATTTATTCGGAAAATAATAATAAATGTAGCCGCTGTGATAAATGGGCGCGTTGTTCTTGTGCCAATATCGAAGGAAACGACAGTTTAATCATTTTAATTCGTTTTTCTTGTATATAAAAATAATATTCCCATCTTACCCCGTCGGGATGAGGACCTTAACGACCTCATCCCGCCCCATCTTCCCCTATATGTCGAGAACTTGATACTCCACTTGGCTGCCATTATTGTTAGCCTGGTCGCCAGATATATGGAGAGAAATGTCTTCTTCATTTCCACTAAGTATGCGAGTAAAAACAAAAAAACAAAAAAAAAACAGAAATTTATGTACGGTGCCAAATTCACAATTGAAAAAGGCCATCATAATAACTCACAAAGTGGAAAAAGTTAAAGCAGAAAATTATGGATTACTGTAAAGTGTCGAGAAGCACTATTTACTATAAAAATGGGGTAACTGTAGATTTAATCGGTTGTAATAGAGAAAGTTGCTTAATAAATGTAATATTTTTGTTGACACAATATTACGAACCATTTCGTTTATTGCGTGTTTATAAACGGTAGAAATCGTTATGTTCTAATATCAAGTTATTGAAACATAGTGTTTTCAATGTACTTCTGTTGTTGTCTGTGCGGGATCTTTTTATTATTTACAATTATTATTAATAGTTACTCTTTTAGCCCTTTCTGATGTAAAATGCATTCATAGCTCTATCATACATTAGTTCAAATCTTTTTGTCTTCTCCAGACTTTCAATTTTTTCACAATCTCTTTCAAACCATTTTTTGGCTCGTTCAATCATCCTTTTTAACTTATTGTTGATTTTTTTTGTATTTTCCTTCTTCACAGTTTACATTTTCCACTTTCTTTCATTTATTATATTCAGCATTTCCTCCGTAATCTAAGTTGATGAGTCCTTTGCCCTTTCTTTCTACCTGTTTCTCTGCTGTGAGACAAATCTTTACTTTCATTGATATCCACAATTTGTTTGGTCCTTCAGTACACTTTTAATTTATCTCTTTGAGTTTTTGCCTTTTTGAAATATTCTAAAGTCTATTTATAACTTTTTTTTTCTTCTGATTTTTTTAACTTCAGTTTAAGTTTTGAGTGTAAGAGGTTGTAATCCGAGTCTATGTCTACATCTGAATAGAATTCCTGTACCTCTCTTTAGTTAATATATAGTCTATTTGGTATCTGTTGTTGTCGCTGGGATTTTTCCAATTATATAATCTTTTCTTCTTTTGAAATTCTGCATTGGTAATCATAATACTATGTTTTTTTTTTCCAGAATTCAATAAATTTTTCTATAACCGAGATGCAAATTTTTTTTCAATGTTATCTTTTTTAATTTCAATGTACGGCTTGATAAACGATTTTAAAACAGAAAGTGAATTGACACTACTGTATTAAGCAAACCATTAGGGCATAAGAGAAAAGCTTAAGTTGTAGGCCTATAATCAAAAATAAGTTGCTTTTTAAGTAATTATTTCGGTTTAATATTGTTTTTCGTTTAAAAACACTGCTTAGCATCGTGGATAATGTGAATTTCGTTGTTATGTATTAATTTAACTCAAAACAGACGTAAAATCCATATAAAATAATGAAATTCTTTTTAAAAAATTAGTCTTGTTGTAGGTTAAATGCTTACATTACATACGATAAATAGGTAATTTTATATTATTTTTATAAATACCACATATTTTTATTTCTTTATTTAGATGTTCTTGTGATTTAAGACGAAGTAGTGCATTCAACATTTCCATTTATAGTCAGTTTTCATAATGAATTGGTTGAAAATGCTTTGAAAAAGTGTCAGCTGTAAACAAATTTTTAAAATTAATATTTAAAATAGATCAGTTCTTGTCTGAAGATGCCCAATCGAAGATCCTACGCAGAAAACTTTTCTTTTCTTCGCTGATTTTTATTAAAAAATCGCAAATTCGTTGAGATTGCAACGAATTTTCTAAACTCGAATTTGGTATAGTACTGTAGTTTGATCACTTTAATGACCACTTTACACACCCCCAATTCCTCATTTTATCCATCTCAAAACTTGTATACTTTGAATTTTGCAATTTACGATACAATTTTATTATTTGAAACCATTTATGTAAATAAATCGAGACTTTTGTCCTCCCTAAAACCTGTAAAAATAATGTACATTTTTCTCGGTTTCGAAAATTCTTTTAAAATGTTATGAAAACGATAAAATAAATCTAAAATAAAATTCATTTTTTCATTGTTAGCGCTCTTCAACAATACGTTTTGCACTCGATTGTTACATAAGTGTGTTGGCTTTTCGGCATTGAATTTTCAGTCGATGGACATTTTTCTAATTCCTTGAAGCATTCCCGATATATCGAATGGGTCCATTTGGATCAATCTAATAAATTTAGATTGAGATTATCTCATAGTTCATATGACATAATCTCAGTCTGAATATTTTACATTGATCCAGATCGAGTCCTGGATCAGACTAAAATATTAAAATGGAGGTCGATATATGGTACTAAAACATCGAGTTTGATCGAAGTAAACTTTATTCGGACCATTTTATTATCTTTGGAAGGAGAAGTTGCCCCGTTTCAACTCTGGGATAATAGGAATAGACTACTTAATGATAATATTTTCAAGACTGGAAAGAAATATAAATGTAATGTAGTTTTTGAATTATAAAATGTTTTTATTTTATTATCCACATAATGTATTAAAGAATCTACTTAAATTTCAACAGGCATTTAAAAGATGTCTAAATTAAGAACTTTAAATATATTTATTAGTTCTATTAGAAATATAGTTATTTCAATTCGAAAAATTCCCCTGAAAGTAGTTACTTAGATGACTAGAACGACTTATTTGCTAACGGGAAAAGCATAATGTACAGAGGCAACCCACTACAAATTTGAAGTAGAAAACAACTATTAAATGTTTAATTAATTAAAAATATGATTGACAATTGCAGCCCGGCATTGTGACGATGCCGCAATAATTAAATGTTCGTAATAAATCATACATAGGTGAGGAAAAAATAAATTGACGAGTAAAATGTCCAGCGACGAGTTGCATAGCTTTCCCGGCAAGAAATTAAATAATGTGCGGTGCCATATGTTACTGGCTGGAGGAGATTTCGGGATTTTCTTTTGCGTTTTCCTAACCTAAATAAATACGTGTTTTCCTATAAAAATTTTTTATTTCTAAAAATATAATTTAATTTCATTACATTTTTTATTATATTAAAAATCTGACGTAACGCGTAAAGATTTATAGTGACGTTCGATTGTTTACTAACATTAGCTTCGTATTGTTGTATTTTCAATTGTCAGAAGATATCTGAAATTCGACAAAATTGCAAAAATGTTTACTTTTTCTCTGCACTTTATGGCAAAATTTTCTTTTATGAAAACTTCAGCAAGGTAATTAATTGATTTATTTATTTATAGTAATTAAAAATCGCGTTTAAATATCGAATTTGTTATAAAAATTAATATATTCATTAAGATTTGCATTTAAACTAATTTATAAATAAATTAAAGTCTTAAACTTAGCTTCATGACTAAACTTACCCGTCTGTGGGACATTGTTCACTGGCATTTCTATAATTCTGAAGACTATCAAAAAGCTTTAATACAAATTCGAATTAGTGGGGAAATCAACAACGTAATACATGCGAGGAACAAACAGCCAATCAGACAGCATTTAAGTCGACT